TTGAGAAGCGCGTGCCATATAGATAAAACACAATAAAGTATATTCAAATGTAAACCTTTAATTTTAGAGACAAAATATAAATAAACAAAAGGTAATTTTAAAAGTGTTACAACATATCTATATCAGAGGGAATCAAAATGGCGAAACGATCATGTGTCATTCACAATCATACCAACACCATTTAACAATAGTAGGTCCATAACGCTGCAGATAGACAAAATATCTCAGAGTTAACTCCCCTGACTTCTTTTCAGAAAAGTTATTACAAATGAAGGGACAAAGGGATAGGTTTAGTCGACTTAGTAGACTTCATCACGATATCATAGGAAATTGTTGTATGGCATATAGAAAATTTATAATTATCTTGATATAAAACGAAACATAAAAACACAAAAAAAAAAAAAATTTTTGATCAATAATACATAAACTGATGTGTTAGACTACAAGCTATCTGGCTGTGTGATGACTTTCATTCCAGATTTCTGTAATAAACATAATGGTATGCACGAGTTATTATGTAAAAAGTCTCACACTGACAGGATAATGTAGCTGATGTTTTCATAACCAGAAATATTGATACTGTGACATGGGACAAGCAATAACAAACGGATATAAATATTTCATTGGAATGTGTTTTGTTGGTAAAGTATCGAATAATGATTAAAAATGTATCATCGATGATGAGATAAACAGACAAGAATAATTGAAACAACATTTCCAGCTGTGACAATAACCAAATGAATCATTATTCATCTGAATGACAACTGCAAATTATGACGCCCTCACAGTTTCCGCTTTCAAATGAGCATGCCTTGCCCTTTAAATATATTAAACACATTCAACAATATTTTTGACGTTTCCTGTTTAATCATGCATGCCATATTTTTGAATTATTAATTTGATTAGTAATTCACCTTGAAATACACCAGTTATTCTGAAACGCTTTCAGATATGAGATACGTGCACCACCCATTTTATAATTTGACGTCAAATTCGGCCATTTTTTCGTTATATTTATGACAGTCATTTCCATCGAAGTTCATATCACTATCCAGTCCCAGGAGGACATAACAGGTTTACAATACAGAATAATTCATTGTATGACAATACTATATCTAATTCTACATTCTCAATCAAATGTGTGGGTATAGGTGTGGGATATTGTGTGTGGGTAGGTGTGGGATGGTGTGTGTGTAGGTGTGCGTGTATTCGAGTTATTATTTTGGTAAAATATTCTACAGTGCACTTAAAGTTGTTAAAAAACAAGAAAATAACAACTTGTCAGCACAATACTAATCCGAACTCAGATTCAATAAAACTAGGGCAAAATACCAGGTGTTCCGGGAGGGTAAGCAAACATCATTCACTTATAATTATATAAATTTTATTCGTGATATGTAACGTGAAGATGTTTGTGATAGTAATAATTTATTTTAGAGGTTTATAGGTAGATCTTAAAGTAGATAGTCAATATTAGCAGTGATCAGATCCTTACCTATCTGTTGTGAAATATCAAAATATTGGTGAATTTAAAATATGGATTTTAGTCTTAAAGACAAAAACATATTTAATATGAAGACTTGAAGTTCTCTGGTCATCGTTATTCGAAAATCAAAATATTTATTGAATTGTAGACTTAGTGATTCTCATCTTGCCGTTTCTTTCTGTTAATTTTGATTTTGTTCAGTCGTCTCTTAGGTTTTAATTTTTAGGAACTTAGAATCACTGGTGAGTGCTAGAAGAATGAGACAGATGTATGATGCACTTTAAATCGTTTCTTGTCTCAGCTGTGTCAATCGATGTAATTCTGTATCTAAATTGTAATTTAAAGTCGTTATTCATTTGTTTGTCGCTTGTACAACCCCTACTAATGAAACTTTTTACAATATATCATAAAAAAATTTCTCTCTCTACATTTTGTCACATCTGAATTTTCCGGGCAAATCCCTCCTTATACATACAATCATATCAACATACAGGTTAAAACTGATCCTCTTCCATCAATATCATCAACATGCATATAAATATTGAAGTAGTTGAATATCAATATGTGCACACAATTTGATGACGTAACAATGTTTGTTAACTCTCGTTTCCTTTTCTGTTTCAATATTTGATACGATCAACATACAATAGTAAATGGTAAAAATAACATGTCGATTATTCTCAGTACAACACAAATATTTCTATATATATGTTAGAATTGATTAAAGTAAATTCGTGAATTTAAAAATTAATTTTCATATTAATTTCATGATTTAACATCGTCATATTTACAAATTTGTAAGCCATATATACAGGTAGCACAACCATGGATACAATTATATAAGTATATACACGTTCTGTTGAACACTGTAGCACTAAGTGTACTCTATAACATAGAACTTTCGTTCTTTTAAAAATACTTTTCTAGCTATAGACAAATTATGAAAATAAAATCGAAAGAAGATTCCAGATAAAAAACATCGTTTGTAGACTGACACGTAAAACACACGAAAATCTGAAGTTATACTGTATGTTGGAGTTGGAAGATATCGCCTTAATCTTTTGTTACACGTGCTAGGTGTCAACTAGAACATACTGAAAAGGCACAACGTTCAAAAATGAATGACAATAACTGAGAGCAAACTAAAATATTCTGAATTAACTCTTTTTAAATATGTCAACTTTAAGTTGATTTCAAAGTTAATATTTTCCCCTCATTGTTCGGAAATGAACTCAAAAGATATGTTTCACATAAATATGCTTTCTCGTGTTTACATGGTGTCAATGAAAAGTATTCCCTTTAAAGTGATGGTGAAAATACCTCGTCAAATGCATTTTTCTGTTAAAAATGTTACCAATTAACAATTGTAATACGTAAGAAAATAATTACATCATTAATAAGACAAAATCTTAATTTCTAAACAATGCTGAAAACATTAATTGATATCGATGAACATAATGTTTATGAAACTTATTTACCAATTTTAATAGTTCTTGGTGTTTTACAAGAAAATCTAAATACCATAGTTTAACATTCTGAAGCAACCTAGAATAAACCTAATACAGATGGAACATTATAGAAAAGACATTTTGAATTTGAAAAAAAATGGAATCCTTCGGGATGAGATTGGCATCTACATAACACAGCAATGACAAAACACATCATATCAGTGAAATCTAACGTCAATGTTTCTTTAATTAAAATGAACATTGCTTGTAAAGAAAATAAATTTACAATTTGTAAAGTAAATATTGACATGTTATAAACATAAAGAAATATTCTATTATGTCTTGTTGATTGATTTGAGTAACGTGAGCAATAGAGACTGCCGTCAGTCAGAAGGAAATAAACCGTCTTCATGGTAACGCCAGATTTCCAAATCTAGTCACGAAGTCATCGAGGCGGATATATAAGTGGCATTGTGGTTTAAGCAATACCTAGGAGACCGATTCTGACGTATATATCAAATACATTACCATATATATCATATCCATCAACAAAACAACATTGTATAAACATCCCTGCTGTTGGAACTTTCCACCTGTTCAGCTCAAGTAAAACTTGTTAGTATTGATGGTACAATCCTACATCTGTATTTCCAAACATCAGTGTTCATCATTTTGTCCCTGGCTAGTCTGATGTCACCGCCCTTCCATCTACAATTGTATTCAGAACCCGGCGGTCGCCTCGTTTAACATTCATTTTCACAACCGTTCTTCGAAAGTCGTCTCGTTTAACTTAATTTTCATTTTAACCACAATATTCCGGAAGTCGCCTCAAAAGAGTTAACATTCATTCACCACCAGAACCACAAAGTCGCTTCATTAATATTCATTTTGACCTTCGGGACATGGAAGTCGCCTCGAAAAAAATAAATATTCATTTTACCCAGCAGATCGTTGAAGTCGCCTCTTCGTCAGTCATTCTAGAGCTGCCCTGATATTCCGTTTAATGTAATGTTGCAAGACCAATCACTGTCTGCAAAGACTTGACCGACCGAGAACTTTTCATTGATATAATATTATTTCCGTTCATCTAGACATTTAAAAACACACCATATCACATGATAGAGAACACATTCTCTTAAAGTAATGAAAACTCCGTGGTCCAGACATCGATGGCGTTAATGGATCATGTTGTTTCAAACGCCTGAATATTTGATTTTAATTTCAAACGAACATTTGAAATCACGACGCTTGGGAACGAGGTTAAAAATAAACACGAGTGGTCTTCTAAACAAGGAAAATTCCACAATGTAATACATGCTCATATGAAGAAAGGTTCTTATTTAGTTAAATAGTTTAAAATAGCTTCTTATTTAGCTAACAAAGTTAAAAGTTTTCTATTTGGTCAATTAGTTAAAAATAGGTTCTTATTTAGCCATTTAGTTAAGAAATTTTTTTATTTAGTCAATTAGTTTAGAAAAAGGTTCTTAAATAGCCAATTAGTTAAAACAGTCCTTATTTAGCCAATTTGTTAAAAAGAGTTCCTATTTAGCCAATAAGTTAAAAAGTTTTTTATTGAATCAATTAGTTAAAACAATTTTTATTTAGTCAATTAGTTAAAAAGGTACTTATTAAGTCAATTAGTTAAATAAATTTCTTATTTAGTTAATTAGTTTAACAGTTTATTTTATTTAATCAATTAGTCAAAAAGTTTTTTATTTAGTCAATTAGTTAAAAAATGTTCTTATATAGTCAATACGTTTAAAATAAATTCTTTATTTAAATAATTAGTTAAAAAAGTCTCTTATTGAGTCAATTAATAAAAAAATGTTCTTATTTTGTCAATTAGTGAAAAAAGTCTCTTATTCAGGTAACACTATCCACTGTGCTCAATGGGAGAAGTCTATATGTTGACTGGGCTATCGGTCAATAATTAACTATGGTTTAGGGTTCTTGTAGGTTCATGTTTTTTTTTATCAACGACACATGCGTCTATATGGTGTGAAACTTATTGATAATTCAGGGAAATACGCAGTACGTTGTTCAGAGGTGTTGATTTGTCAACACATTCAGCGAACAAGTAAATGTTGTGGTGATTGTTTAATATGATGGTTCCCGTGCATATTTGTAGTCATGGCTGTTGTCTGAGATTGGGAGCGGACCGCGTGATACATCTTTGAGGATTTACTCTGAATATTGTCACATGCCATCTCCATCAAACAGTCCCGAAACTGTCGACTCATAGCGCAATACATACAAAAGTTTGCCGAACTGTTGATCAACGACATCAGATCTAACGTCTCTGCAAACATCTGATACGTGTTATCCATAAAATTTTCAAAACACAGACACAGCACAACCAAGATGGAGGAAGGCATTTGTGTGACAATGTACATAACAATGATTGCCAGTAACATGATCGTCGTCCGCTTGTGTTGTTTGAGACGGTTCGCGCACTGCGCACCCTTTAGTGTGAGCGTTCTTTTCTTACTCTCGTGCAAACCGCGTAACAACAGACCACCAAAAATACATATCAAAACACAGGGAAATACCTTTCCTATCAGAATAAATACTCCTCCTGCTGTCTTCTGTAGCCATGTCGCGTCACCAGCACCCATGTTATTTAGACCTTTCAGGTAAATCTCGCCATTTCTGTTGCCCACCTTGGTAACGATATAAACGGGTAGGTAACAGAGAACCGTACATACGTACACAATGATCACAAGGATGACTGAGTTCTGAACCTTCATAACAGACTTATTGTTCCCCATAGACCGGATGTAGATGTACCGTATAATGGCCATACAGACGCCGAGCCAGATTGATATCGTATGGGTGGTGATGCTGAGACCCGAGTGAATGGCCATGTACCACACCCATCCATATGTGTACTTGTCCTTGGTACGTTCTAGACCGTGGATGATGTAGAAATGGATGCAGTACGGCATATAACAGAGCATGGTAAGCACGTCCGCTATAGCTATGCCTGCCAGGATACAGTTGATGGGGGAGCGAAGATTCTTCCTCGTCAAGATTACAATGTTCACGATATTGGTAGGCACCCCGAAACAGCAAATGACGAGACTAGTGTAGCCGTGAATTGAGAAGATGAAGCAGGCGTATGCCAACAGTCCTCTCGCTTGCGATCCACACTGATCTTGAGGACCAGTCAAGTTGGTGATGTTGCTGAAGTTCATATCTGAGAATGTTAGGCACGTCAGTTGGAAATGGTATTTACCTGTAACAGAGAAGAAATCCATATAAGTAATTGTATCAATTAATATTTGTATTGACCCTGATTAGGTAAATAGCTCGTGGTTAAATATGATTAATGTTTTCTCTTAAACGTAATTGTGACAAATGGTCAGATGGTTAAGGTATACTGCACAAGTCGTTTACGAGGTCGATCGCGATTCAGTTCTTTGATCAGATGAAAGTTATGATGCAATTTGCTCGACAACGGAAGCTCAGAATTCTTTCTATATAAGATCGGTCGAGCCCTAGTACACCTGTCACACTATCGATCGATTGAAGTTCAAAGAACTTTAAAAACGGAAGAATTGCGATTATTCGTAATCTGCATAGCTAGCATTCGCAAATAAATACTTATATATTGACATTCTTTAAAGAAAACCAACTCTGGAACCCTCAACGTGATAGTGAAGGGGTAATTAACAAAGAAAAATTCTGGACCCATCATCATGAACATTCTGATCCCTCCATCTCTATGACAGATCTGAGGTAATCAACAGACCGAGAGACTCGTTCTTGATGCACATCTTTAGCAATTTCCAAATGTTTCAATTGGATATTACATGTCTACCAGCCTTTAATCATATGTCTTGAGTTTCTGCTTATATTTTCAGTTTATAAAATCACAATTAGATCTGACGAGAATCGTGAGTATCGGCTGTGTATCAAATCATTCAAAAGTAAATCAACAAAGTGACATCACTTCCGGTACACGGATGCCGGAAGAGAACTCTTTTGTGGAAGTTTTTTTATAGTATATGATAAATTGTTATAGGATATAGAGTCAGGTAAATGTTCATCATAAAGAAACCAATTCAGTAGTAATGATTGTTTTGAAGTTTTTATCTCACTGAAGGTAATTGACCATACTGCACTCGGTTGTAACATTTGACCATACTGCACTCGATTGTAACATATGACCATACTGCACTCGATTGTAACATTTGACCATACTGCACCAGGTTGTAACATTTGACCATACTGCACTCGATTGTAACATATGACCATACTGCACTCGATTGTAACATTTGACCATACTGCACTCGATCATAACATTTGACCGTACTGCTCTCGATCATAACATTTGACCATACTGCACTCGATCATAACATTTGACCGTACTGCTCTCGATCATAACATTTGACCATACTGCACTCGGTTGTAACATTTGACCATACTGCACTCGATTGTAACATTTGAACACTTATATGTGGGTAAAGCACAGCGATGAAGTGATGTGTAAGAAATATATCACAAACCTGCGATTTAACGCAATCAGCTTGGATCGATGGACCTCTTAAGGATAACACCAAGTTACAGTTAGAGAAAAAAACCAACGGAAGATCTACCTGTCAGCAATAGTAACGGTTATAGTTTGTTTTAGATTTGTCAACAAATGGTTGCCAAAGGTGAGTGACCTATGAAGAAATGTAAAAATACTAAAAAATAATAAGAAGTATACATATCTTTCTGGAATATGTGTTGTCATTGTAATTATTTCCCAGACAGAACCGCAGGGTAATTTACATCTATCACATCTAAACTTTTATCAGTCACTAAATTGTCTCTAGGACTGTCAGTATATCTTACTTCATGTTTTTACCTCACGATGAACTCAACAGTGACAGCTTTCCAATCAGCTGTATGATTAGTGTGATGACTGAGTTGCAGTATTTTGAATTTTTTCTGGACAGCAATACCCTTGTAACGCGGACTAGCGTGTTGATTTGATATTTAAGTGCCTGTTCCTAATATCATAATTTTCATACAACTTATAAAATAATCATATGATGTGTTTTTTGTGTGTATACGACTTAATCAAAGAGTTGATAATGAAAAAAATCCTACACAGTGTATGCATATATTCCAAGGTGTCTGATAATTTTTAATTAATCATTGATCGAAACTGAATTTTTTTCGTTTGTGATAATTTAATTATAATTCTAGCTAATTAACATCGTTTGTTGTCAGGATTGATAACATCAATACCATATTATTAACCCAGACAGCTGATTCATAACACTGATGGTCTAACCCAAGAGGATCTAAAGATAAGAACATATCTCCTCGATTCTACTACTGTTGTATGATGTTGACATATAAATATGTATTTGGAAATCGACGTGTCGAATATACAGAGAATACACGGTCAGTGTTTATTTTGGCGAAGGTGAAGAATGACAAAAGTGGTAAGTATCTGGTTAGCCACTTTTGTTTTTCTGCCCTAAGACAAAATACAGCTTATATCTTAAGACACTGACAATGTATTCTATTTATCAGACTATTGAAACAATCAGATTCGTGGTTCAATCTGTGTTTAGCTGATGTTGACGTCACGCTGAATTTTGCCTGATGACGGGCGCGAAAAAAGTTGCTCAGCGCGGAAACAGCGAATACTGCAAAAATATATGTGGCAGGTGTATTCCGACAACGGCGGTGCCAGTTGCAGGATAAAGATACATATTTAAACGACGACAACTATTAATAACCACAGCCTATACAGATTTCTGAATCCTATTATACTAAATGTTAAAAGACCTATAACAATAATGAAAATTAATCTACATATATATATATACATTAAACTTTATTTTTGCAAATATTTCATTTTATGCAGTTTGTGAAAAGAGAGATGTAACGGTATTTAATGATCATCTAGATTAAACTAGAACAAAAATATGAACGAAAGAATAATTTAAATGTTGACCATCGAAAAGGTACGAGGAGAATGAGACCAAGTGTTCCAGTTAAGTAAGCGTCTTCTGTTTCATCGACGACACCCGTCATATAAATCTTTGCCGATCCAAGTAAATATTCTCACGTTTTCAAACGATTTAAGGTAAACATTGGCACCACCAAGCAAACTGACGAGCATCTAACACATCCTGTTTTATATAGCACAAAGAATTATATCACTATGACAACCGTATCTTCTTCAATCTTCATATATCGAAACTCTGTGTTGTGAGTTTGTTAGAATGTAGACAAGTGATAATACACCCAGCTCCAAGTAGCATTTTCTCTAGACTTTCTGCCCCAGCAATGGTGCAGCCGTCCAACAGGTCAAAGTGGTCTTTTATTCTCATTTTCAAGCAGGAGTCAATTTACGATATTTCATTAAGTCTTAGCGCCCGAGGTAAATGTTATATGAAAAACGAGTTCAATCGATCCCATCTGTGTTATAATAGAAAAAAAATCATAATTGCGTCCACTCTGATTACAGACTCACGGACAATGTGACAGATTCTGTTGGTCTACATGAATTGATTTTAACTTTATTTCTCCCAAGCATACCAAAGATGATTGGTTATCAGGCAAAGCAAAACGTGTGCGAGATCGGAGCGCCATCTTTGTGTGAAAACTAGATAATTCATCACACTATCAAGCAAAACTCAACTGATGCAGATAACAATAGAGGTCTTGGCTTCTTACAGATTTATAATCACTGATTTCTATATATATATATATACATTGATAAATAAATTGTGATGAATGTCCTTTTTTCAAAACTGCCGAAAACTGTCCTAAACTTCTAGTTTCTAATTTGTTAAATTACACAATGTTGCCCCGACGTAATGCTTACAAGGCACACCACCAGACCTGATAAATCAATGGCCGTGTAATAAATTGTTGGCATGCTCTAATTATTGGAGTGATAATTTTCAATGAGATGTTTTTTTTTTTTTTTTTTTTAAGAATGGAAAGAATTTGTGCGTGAGTAACATGGCAACGATTTGTAATTTGAAAGAAAAACTGTCACTTAACGATTAATCTGTGTTTGCTTTCAATTCAAAGATGGTTTAAAACTTATTATTATTATTTTTTATTTTAATAAAAAATGCATTGAATTCCAGTCGTAATTGATCCAATGTCGTCTAGAAGATGCGATATGGTATTACGACGCGACGCCTTCTGAAGCAATCCTAATGCGCTAAGTGGCGTCATTTCATTTAGGTAACTTAAATATCGGTTTAGTGATTTATCATCAAACAGACGTAGAATTTGTCTTGATCCTATTCAATATTGATATATGAAACAAAAACTTTCATAGAATGTCTTTGATCAGGACCACGTTTTCACAGTTTTTGTCGACCTATTGAAAGAATTATTGATACTGTTGGTCAATGATATGTCATCAGTTCACATTAAGTTCATTCAGGGTCATATGCATGTTTACATTTTAACTCAAAATTAATTTGTTTGAAAAAAAGAAATACCACAAAGCGTCTTGCTGCGCATGGTAGTGTATTGACTACTTAGGTTATTGAAGATAGGGATTCCGACCATATCGTCACCATGGTAATGGACATCAATATCGTCACCATGGTAATGGACATCAATATCGTCACCATGGTAATATACATCAATATCGTCACCATGGTAATATACATCAATATCGTCACCATGGTAATATACATCAATATCGTCACCATGGTAATGGACATCAATATCGTCACCATGGTAATGGACATCAATATCGTCACCATGGTAATAGACATCAATATCGTCACCATGGTAATAGACAACAATATCGTCACCATGGTAATATACATCAATATCGTCACCATGGTAATATACATCAATATCGTCACCATGGTAATATACATCAATATTGTCACCATGGTAAGACTTCAATATCGTCACCATGGTTATAGGCATCAACATCGTCACTTCAGCAATAGTCAGTTATATCGTTAATGAAAAATAATTAAAAGAAAACTGCGAAAAGCATAACTGGTGATTAATTAAATCAGATGTACAGGAATAAAATACCTTTCGAATCAAAGAAAGAATATCATGTATCGTTTTTTTTTTTTTTTTTGATCTTTTCATGGAGTTAAAAAAACCCAATATTTTATACTGGACA